GTGGTCCGGGCGGGCTCGCGGGCCTGGGAGCGGCACAGCCTGGCGCTGGCGGCGTGGTCGGGCGCTTCCATCTCACCCACCGTCGGCGAGGCGGGGGCGTCCAGGATGCTCGTCTTATGGAAGAAGAGATCGAGGCTCAAAGGGGGGTTAAAGGCAGAGCTTAGCCTTTGACCCCTCCCCCACGTCCCCCTGCACGTGCACACTCCTACCCCCCTCCTCCAGTCCTACCTCCCCTACTTGAAACCTTGAGATCATGCTCTAAGCAGCCAGGCACCAGGAAAAAGCCTTGGAGAGCAGCAGCTAGGAAGAAGCGGAGGCAGCCGTTTTGTCCCGCAGTCCCTCCCTCAGTCCCATTTCACAAAGGAGGAAACTGAGGCCCTGAAACGTCGACCGGCAGTCGCCAGGTGCTGTGGAGCCTCGCTGCTCTGGGCTCAGACAGAATTCACTTCTTCCACACGGTTTCACGAAGGCAGGGACTTTGTGGCCCTGCTTCCCACTAGATCCCCAAGGCCTAACTGGCACAGTTAGGTCCCCCTGCCAATATCTATTGAAAAAAATGTGTATTGCAGGGGCTCAATACATATTTGTTGACCAAACTATGAAGGAATAGGGGCTGTATTATGAACAAGACAGACTGGGCTCCTGCTCTCTCATAACTGCATTGTAGGGTGGCTGGGAGGGCAGAATAGGGTATATACATGAGCAAATACATCAACAAGATCCCTCGGGGCTTGATGGTGATCTAAAAGGGTAAAATAAAGGCAGTGGCAGGGTTGGTGAGCTTCTTTAATTGGGTGGTCAGAAGGTGGCAGTGAAAAAACCAACCCAGGTAACATCTGGGGAAGCTGAGGCCCAGGAGGGAACTGGGGGCAGATGGAGGTAATGGAGTTTAACTGTAAGGCCTTCAGCAGAGTGGGGCTACTGGTTCCTTTGTCAAGGCCACCCTTGGCCCTGGGCTCCCAGGAGGACAATTCAGCCAAGACAGAGACCTGAATAACAGTATGAGGAACCCCAAGGCCAGGAGCAGAACTGGGGATTAGTACTCAGTGCTGAGCTGGGAACTCTGGGAGAGGACAGGCTCCAGCCTGGACCTCAGGGGGCTTTTATGGGGTGGGGGGAAGGGAGAGGACAGTCAAGAAACCGTTCAGTATCATGATGTGGTTGGTGTCAGGAAGAAAAGAAAGCTTGTAAGGGTTGGAGGGTGGGGCAGGGTGTCGATGCCACTTCAAAGGTGATCTGAGAGCTGCTTTGAGGAGGGAAGTTTAAGGAGGCCCAAGTGCAGGGAGGTAAGACAGTTAGTTGGCTATTTGGCTTTCATGGATATTCCAGGAGTTGAGAACAGAGTAGATGTGTATGATCGCAGTCGTTCTCCTCTCAAATCCCTCCCAAGGCTTGTGGTCAAAAGATCCTCTTGCAGCTGACCCCATTTTCTCACAGAATTCAATCACCACCACGGCACCCCCCAACCCCCATCCCCCTCCTCCCCATTGTTNNNCTCCTCCCCATTGTTATTCTTGAACAGAGACTGGCTGACTCCCTCACCTCCCTCAGGTCTCAACTCCACCATACCCTTCCTAGTGTGGGGAGAAAATTGAGTGCCCCCACCAGCCTGTCACCCTTCCTAGCTTTGTTTGGCTCCAGATGACACTTGTCACCCTGGAAGACACTCTGTATTTTACATAATTATCTTTTTTTTTTTTTTTTTTTTT